CTTGCATTTCATACCTTCAAACAGAGATCTTATTCCTTCATTGTTCAACAAGGCATCGCTGCCTAGATGTTTCCTTTTTATTGAATCAAAAAATCCAATAAAAGTGGAACTATGTAAATAAAATGTCTTTGTCATATGAAGATTTAATGCAAAGCTTTTTCGGGATGATGAGACACAAATAGATCTTGTGGGGAAAAAAAAGTCTTTTTATATTTCTTTAGACACCCATGCGCACAGACTTTATATATTTTAGTAAAATGACAGGGTTCTCATTCCGCCTTGTCAAAGGACTGGATGAGAAGCCAGCTCTTCAGCGGCATCTGAATGAGGGAGAACCTTATTCCAGAAGTCAGGTGGTGCTACAGAGAAGGCAGACTTCTGGCACACCTGTGCAAGGAGGTGCTTTGCAAACTAAGGAACATATTTAGTGCACCTCTCTTCCAATAATTAAGTCAGCTGTATTTTCTGAGTATGTCTGACTGTTCCTGATTGAGAGGCGTTTTATATATCGTATGTTCTTGCTATTGCAAAGCACAACTTTCAGAGGACTTGCCTTGCTCTATATTTTAGGTATATAAATTACAGTCACTAGATTTACTTGTTTTAGAAATCTGGATTTACAATCTACTAGTACATCAGACAAAAAAAAAGTGTCATATAATGACCTCTCTCTTCCTTGGGTTACGAGATGGTTGATGTCACTGCTGTGTCTTCGATCTCCTCTTGTTGCTACTTTACCTTCAACTTCAGAAAGCCATGCCTGAAGAGAGAGAGAAACCATGTTACCTGTGCAAGGATTAAATATTAAAATTCTGTTCAGGTGTTCAGAATGCTTCTGGAACCCATAAGCTTATTTCTTGTACGTATGTTTCAGGGGTGGGTTTCAAATTTTTTTAGAACCTCTTCTATAGGTATGGCCTGCTTTGTGGGAGTGGCTTGCCAGCCATGTGACCGGGTGGGAGTGGCTTGCCAGCCATGTGACTGGGTGGGCGTGGCCAGCTTGTAAAATGTGGTGAAACTCACTTAGCAATGCTCTTGCTTAGCAACCAAAATGTTGGCTCA